CCCCAACCCTCCACTCGTGCTCTGTCTCTCTTCTCTCAAATGAATAAATAAATCTTTAAAAAAACAAACATAAGCTTCCATGCCCCTATGCACATATCTGACAGAATGAACAGTAATTTTAATATCATCTGATACCATATTCAAATTTCCCTGGTTGTCCCAGCAATTTTTTATAGCTGGTTTGTTTAAAGCACAATTCAAACAAAGCCCCTATATTTTATTTGATTGGTAAGTATGTTAAGGCTCTAAATTTACAAGATTGTGTAAAGAAAATAAATGGTGAATTTTGCTTAAGTAGTGTAGTAGATTTCCTTGTTTAACCTTTTAATTGTCCATTTCCCTTTCAGCAGGGCACTCTATTTTCTCAGGAGGAATGAGTTCTTTCCCACTGGATACAGTCTGGAAGAACTATAATCTGGGGCATCTGACCCAAAGTAGCCCCATTAGGTAGTCCCTCCCGTGAGATCTTGAGCAGAGAGCTAAGGACAGTTGGAATAGTATTTTATCTTAATGGCCACAGACTTCTTGAATGTGTTGTGGATCATTTGCGTTCCTGTTTTTTAGCTGCCTGCTTCAAGTTATAGTCCTGGGCCCCTGTTAGTCTTCTAAGAAATGTCTCTTTTGCTTAAGCAAAGCCATTTTCTTTTGCTTGCATTCAGAGACCTCTAGCTGATAAAAATATAAACTCATTCAAAAAGGTTACTATCCTTTCTAACTTTGTGTCCTTATATTGTTTCTATCCATGTTCTCTTTAATCTGACTTTAGTCTTTACCTTTCTTTTTATTCCTCAAAGTATTTTTTCTTTTGCCTTTTCTATTCAAATAAGCGGCAGATTCTTCTTTGTTCCATTTTTATCCAATTGAACAAAAAGGAAACTCCTTAATACTCATAATATCATTAAAGTAGTGTGTAGCCCTGGCATTTGGCCAAATTTGGGACATCACTGCTCTGTCAGGATGTGTCTGCTTCTTTGGCAACCCGCTTGATTGAAATTATAGTTGTCTGACCCACTGATTATCTTAAAAAAGAAACAAATCTGTCAGGTTGTATCTATACCAGTCCATAAAAACAGAGTGTTAGGAAAATTCTCTGTCATAGCTTTTCAGTTGGAAATAGAACCTGTAGAAAATTTTGTTGGAGATTTGTACTTATCAGCAAAGCACGTTCTTTCCAGGAATTCTGGCTGTTCATAGCTAAAGATCTAGTGGATTCACATTCAGCATCATCTTACTTAATGGATTGTTCTAATGAGAAATGGACTCTTTTGAATGTAAATATTTTTGTGTGAATCATTGCTGGAATAATTTAGAACATTTATAAATCTATTCAGTAATCTGGTACTGATGCTGTGATGGCTTTATAATAAAACGGATGTCATATTCTTAGGCAGTGTATACAAATGTCTGAAAAGATTCTAAAGATCCTAAAGAGATTATGAAAAATAGCAAAGTAGGGACTTTTTAAAAAAATTCCTTTCTAAATGAACAAAAATAAAAAATTTTTTACAGTTTTTTAAGCCTCAGTTATGTTAAAACTAAGAAAGCCGCCACATGTCACAAAGTCTGAAGAATATAGACAGACACAAGATAATTTTAAATCAAGTGAAGAAATGAATCTTCAAGCCAATAATCAACTCTTTGCTTGAGGTGATACTAAAATGTTGTCGGAACAAAAGTAAAGGAACAGTGTGGGAGAGAGAGATGAAGAAAACACAAATTATTTTACTATAACTGCTTCACACTGTCAAGGACATTCTTAAAAGGTTGGGTTAGGGAGAGCTGTATAAAACAGGAGATAAGACAAGAAGATATGATTAAAGAAATAGTTAAGGAAAGATTTTTGGAGATAGACCAGTGATTTAAGAGCTAAAAATTCAGAGAGGCTGCAGAATTAACACCACAGAAAACAAAAAAATCCCAAAGATTAAAGGTTTAAAAATCATACAGGATGCAGAACAAAGAGATAATAAGACTGAGAGAAGCTGATATGAATGGAGGACAGAAAAACAGATAATTTCTATGGTCGAAGAAGAAAACAGTAAGTAAGTGAGAATTCAATGAGTGTTACTTTCTGAAGTTGACAGAAGAAATAATTTAAACATTTTATTCGGAGACATATAGGTAATCATTACTAAAATAAAAGCAGGCTGTCTGGTGTCTAAATCGCCGGATCAAGAGACAAATATAAAAAAAACTATAGACCATCTAGCAAAAGAAAGAAAACAGGAATGAAAGGATAAAAACAAGATAAAATAAGATGGAAAATGAGACAGTATCTATTAAGTCCATTTAAGTAGGATATTCTCATGTATTAAAAAACCTCAGATTGACTCAAAACCTAGTGATGCAAAATTTAAATGAAAAATATGGGCAGTGATATTCCAGGGAAAGGCAAGGGGAAGTTTGAAAAAGTTACAATATTACGATTCAACAAAATTAAATTCAAGGTAAAAGTATTGCCTGAGAATGGAACACTTGATAATTTGAAGGGTACAATTTGCCTGATGATAGAACTCTTCTGAACTAATTAGTACATTGAATGTACCACTGAAACATACAAAGGAAATATATAGGAAACAGGAAAATAATTAATAAAATACTATAGCTGTTGTTCTCCTGGCTCACATACAGTATAAAGGGGTGCTTAAATTTTTTTATTTTCTTCCTTTAATTGTTCTGTCTACTTTACAACCACTGTATCATTACTCTTTGAATATGAAGTATTCAGTCCATCAAACCTGTCTCCCCTTACTCTGCAGACCCATCTCTTGTCCTGTTTCATAAAAAAAAAAAGGTCATAAGACAAGTAATCTTACCTTTCCGTCTACTTTCCCTCACAAACTGTGTTGTTTCTTTGCATGGTAAAATAGATGTTTTTAGTCTAACACTAATGCCTGCCATTTCCCCTACTTTGATGGTGTCACATCATGTCCCATGCTGATTATTAATAGACGGCATCTCCAGCTTAGATCTCTCCTGTGTACACACCCACAGAGCCATCTGCCTCCAGGACACCTATCTCTCCCAGGATGCCCATCAAGCATCTCAAACTTGTCATGCCCCAAATTGAACTCATCACTTTCCTCCTAATCTTACTCTTCCTTTAGAACTCATTACTTCAGTGAATGGAAGTCTCCCACATTCACTGGGAAACTCATTTCTCCTGACGGCTGTGGTTGGTGATCGGTGGGAAGTGTAGTGGGGTCACCTGTATTACAAATGGATTGTTTAGTTATGGACCAAAACATTTTGTCATATGACTTACGAAACCAGCAACGTAATCATCCTTTTGGCAGTGGAACATTGGGGAAAATCACCTCTACTGAGTGACAGCTGCTTTCTCCTCTAGATCCATAGCTTTGCCATGATTCTTGGCGCAGACAGGCATTTTCTCTTCACTTTGAATACGGGAAGCAGCATCTTCCCGTATTCAAAGAAAACATGAAATCATAAAAAAAAAAAAAAAAGAAACAGAAGCAAAACCCTGGAAAAAGTAAAAATATAATAAGATGGTAAAACTCCTGAGATGAGGATTTGGTGCTGTTGGCACTGGCTGTGGGGAGAGGTAACAGGGGTGTACAAAGAGGCTGTATAAGGGCAGGCTAACTATACGTAAGCAAGTTTGGATCATGTTTTTACTGATTGATAGTGACACTGTATCTTTATAAAGCATCTTAAGATTCTCAATTAATAATATAAAGAGAGAAACTCCTTTGTGCTCCCCTGAGGAAAAATAAACTATAAAGTTTCATGGAATTTTAAAATGCCCTATCTTGCTCATTTAAGAGTAGCAAGAAATCATTTTATCACTATTTTGATTTGTGAGAGTTTAAGAACATCATTTTTACTATTAATAGGTTATTGTAATATTTGTCCTGTATTTTTTCTTCTGCTTTTTATTGTTACTAGAGTGACAAATTATTAGTTACTTGAATCTGATTCTCAAAGGGTTAGGGAATGGATGAGGCAGGGATGGTGTTGGTGTTGGTATGCGTGAAAGAGAATTTATGTTAATGAAAAGGGAAGTGAATGAGTTACTAAGAATTACAGTTCTTAAGGTCTGAATTGCTTAAGAGTGTTTAAAATTGTTGAGGCTGGGATGAAATTTGAGAACCACAGATTAAGATATTGAGAAAAGCCAGGACCAAAAATATCTGTTGTAGTTATATCCAGCTACTGAATGTGGCTGAACAGTCATTTGAAAGTATTTTTCTGGTTCTTTAGCACCCTTTATTGTAGGTGAACTATTAATGCCTTGAGGGGAAATTCCTAGTGCTACAGCATAAAAGGATCAACAGCAGCAAGTGTGATATCATTACTGATAGTTTAAAAGGATGGGAAAGCCCTTATTTCTGTTAGTGTATTGAACCAAATTAATGATAAATCATGTCAGTGCTTAGTGAAGCAGTTTCTTCACTGTATCAGCTTAAAATAAGGACCACAGAATAGTCTCAAGCTAAGCTAAACTATTATTTTAAGGCATTGAAAGATGAGCCATATTTGTACCCTTAAACAAGGTGACTACCAGTAGCCTAAGTGTGTTATCCCCCAGTACATGCTCCTTCCTTCCCTTGACTTCTGCTTGCTGGGTACTGTCTGCACGTGCATTTGCCTCTTTTTAAGGGAGTGGCATTTTACTCTTCATTGCCTTTGTGTCAAATATCACAACTAGTTGACATTGATCAATTGGTATCAAATGTGGATGTTTGTAGTAGATAAGGAGGTAGCATATTACTTACAGGTATTTTGGGTTTTAATGTGTTGAAATGCCAGTAGTTTAAACTACTATGTAAGGAGAGGCTTTTGTAAGCAAGCTTTTGAGCGGAGGACAATTTCTAACAGCTTTCTTAACAGGCCTTTTACCTGTTCCCAGACTCTTGCCAACTGAGTACTATAATAAAGACAACTGTTTGAACATCCTTTTTCATATACAGACCGTGGCATACAAGATCATTATTTAACTTAAAATCTTTTCTCTTTTTGTTTATATTTTCTGCTAGATACTAAGGCTAAGGCACACCACAGGTGTAACAACAAAGAAAAATGTTGCAGCCTTAAGACGTGAAACTTACACAGTGGATTTTATTAAAAAGCAGATTGAAGAGTTCAACATAGGAAAGAGACATTTAGCCAACATGATGGGAGAAGATCCAGAAACTTTTACTCAAGAGGATATTGACGTAAGTGCAATTACTCTGTTGGGAAAGTAATTGCTGTAGAGTTTGTTTTTTTATGATTTATTTATTTTAGACGGAGAGAGAGCGCACTAGAGGGGAGGGGCAGAGGATGAGGGAAACTGAAGCAGACTCTGTGCTGGGCTTGGAGCCTGACGCGGGGCTCAATCTCATGACCCTGAGATCACGACCTGAGACAAAACCAAGAGTTGGACCCTTAACCAACTGTGCTACCCAGGCGCCCCTAGCTCTGTGTCAATTTTAATCAAACTGTCAGAATAAGGACAAAAACCACTATGTATTGCAAGTTGGAACCATGGTTTCAAAGAGAGATGCTACTCTGTATTTGAAGCATTATGAAGCATAGTGAGTTTTAGATTTTAATGAGAAATGGATAATTTTCTTGATTCAAGGTCTTAGGAGCCACTGTGAATGCTCATACACAATGTGGAAACATTTAACCTATTGTGGAGTCTTAAACTCAGCTTTCTTACAAAATGATAAAACAGATGGTGATGGAAATATAGTGAAGTTTACAGGAAATCCCATAAGTAAACCTGAGTTGAGTGTTTTTTATTATTTTAACTATGTATTTGAATTTTCAAAGTCAGGGCATGTTCTAAATGATTTGAGAATTAAAGTTAGAACTCTGTTATTGTGGGGCGCCTGGGTGGCTCAGTTGGTTAAGCGACTGCCTTCGGCTCAGGTCATGATCCCAGGGTCCTGGGATCGAGTCCCACATCGGGCTCCCGGCTCAGCAGGAAGCCTGCTTCTCCCTCTCCCACTCCCCCTGCTTGTGTTCCTGCTCTCGCTGTCTCTGTCTCTGTCAAATAAATAAATAAAATCTTTAAAAAAAAAAGAACTCTGTTATTGTTCCTCTCTTGAGTTTTTCTAACCCTAATAAAAGTAGTAATAATAAATAATACTTTTTTGCCAGACATCCCAACATAGCTAGCAAAGGTACTTAAAATTTAACCACTTTGCAGCTTGTTCTAACTTTTTTAAATTTTATTTTGATTTCCAGTATAGTTAATGTACAATGTTATATTAGTTTCAGGTATACAATACAGTGACTTAACACTACATCACCCAGTGGTCATCATGACAAGTGCCCTTAATCCCCATCACTTATTTCACCCATCCCCCTCACCCCCTCCCCTCTGGTAACCATCATTTTGTTCTATATAGTTAAAGAGTCAACTTCTTGGTTTGTCTCTCTCTTTTTTTTTTCCTTTGCTCATTTTTTGTTTTCTTAGTTTCCTAAATTCCACATGTGAGTGAAATCATATTGTATTTGTTTTTCTCTGACTTCTTTCACTTAGCATTATACTCTAGCTCCATCCATGTCATCGCAAATGGCAAGATTTCATTATTTTTTATGGCTGAATGATATTCCAGTGTGCATATATGTGTGTGTGTGTATCACATCTTTATCCATTCATCTATCCATTGACATTTGGACTGCTTCCATGATTTGGCTATTGTAAGTAGTGCTGTTATAAACATAGGGATGCATGTAATCCCTTTGAATTAGTGTTTTGGGGTTGTGTTTTTTGGGGGGTTTTTTTTTGTTTGTTTGTTTTGGTAAATACTCAGTAGTGTGATTGCTGGATCATAGGGTAGTTCTGTTTTTAACTTTTTGAGGAATCTCCATACTGTTTTCCACAGTGGCTGTACCAGTTTGCATTCCCACCAACAGTGCACAAGGGTTCCTTTTTCTCCATATCCTCGTCAATATCTGTTGTTTCTTGTGTTGCTGATTTTAGCCATTCTGACAGGTATGAGGTGATGATGTTGGAGCATCTTTTCATGTGTCTCTTGGCCATCTGGATGTCTTTGGAGAAATGCCTGTTCATGTCTTCTGCCCATTTTTAATTGGATTATTTGCTTTTTGGGTGTTGAGTTGTCTGTGTATGCTTTGTTAAATGCTTTTTCTGTATCTATTGAGATGATCATATGGCTTTTATCCTTTCTCTTATTGATGTGATATATCATGTTGATTGATTTGTGATTATTGAACCACCCTTGCATCTGGGAATAAATCTACCACTTAATTGTGGTGAATGATTTTTTAATGTATTGTTGGATTTGGTTTGATAGTATTTTGTTGAGATTTTTGCATCTAACTGATACTAATCTGTAGTTTTCTTGTATGTCTCTGTCTCATTTTGATATCAGGATAATACTTGGCCTCATTGAATGAGTTGGTAGGTATTTTCCTCTCTTTTTAGAAGAGTTTGTGAAGAGTTGGTATTAATTCTTTAAATGTTTGGTTGAATTCATTCAGCCTTGGGATGTTTTGTGGGTAATTTTCTTTATATTACTGTTTGCATTTAAAACTGGCCCTTCCCTCTCTCCTTGTGACCTGTGTGTCCCTGAGTAACTGTTCTGAGCAAGAGGATCCCACTACCCAGCTGAGTTTACTACCTTTTTGGGTATACATGGAGATATTCAGCTCATTGAAAGAAACAGAATTGTTCAACAGTTTTGTAATTCTGTCTGAGAAGATAACCGTTTTCATAATGTTAGTATTAAAAATTATATGTTGTTTGGAGTGGTTAGTTCAGTGCTTGGATCTTTAATCAGAATATTTTTGGGTTGTTAAAAATATTTTCAAGAGGATTTAACTTCTAGGTAGTAGACATGGCATATAATTTAATTCATTTACCTGGTTGAAAGCCTAGGCTTACTGTATAATTTTCACATTGGTAAATTAGGTGCCATTGTATTACTATTACTATTAAATGCAATAAGTAAAATCTACCATAATTTGAATCCTTCACTAGTTCTCTGATTGCCTTTGTCACACAAATCTTCCATCCCACCTAAGACTGCGTGTTGAGGAGAACAGTAGGAAGTACTCTTGAGTATATTGATTTATCATTGAGTGATCCACACCGGAGGTGATATCATAACCCGCAGGTTGAGATTTTGTCTCACCCAGCACATTGCCTAAATGCCTGTGTGGAAGTGTTAGCTCCTTTCACACCGGTGACATAATTCTGCTATGTTAGACTTACCTGCAAGTGATTGATCTGCCTCACTAAGTCTCACATTTTATATCAATTAACTCTTTGGGCATTTTATTAAATTTAGTGGACTCTCATTGGCATCTAAGTAGATGTAAAAGCAAAACAGGACAGTGACAGCCAACTGTTACCAAAGCATTAAAATTACATACCCATTGTGGTTCCTGGTTTTGTGTATGTTTTCAAAACTGTTATTTTTGTTTGAGATTTGGCTGTATATATAACCTGAAAGAGAGTATATAGCTAATGAGTCTTATGTAGCATTTCCGTACTGACAAAATGCTTAGTTATTTCTAAAGACAAAACCAAATAATTTGATATCCAAAATCAGGAAAATATTTTAAGCTTCCAGATAATTTTTGGAAGAATGTCATGATTGCTTTTATATAGTTAGAGGTTATAATGCTTTTTGTAATGTGTTTGGCTTTTAATACAGAATTTAAAACCAGATACAGTAATTTTTCTCTTATTTTATATGATCAGGAAATTCGATATTCCACAGAAGTGAAGTTTCCAGTTAAGGGAAACCTATTTTTAATTGTTACTGGTTATGAAAAATACCACCACTTATTAAAAACCTCCTATATACTTTGAAGATGCTTTCTGGGAGCCTGATTTACATTACCACATTCAGTCAGAAAAATGTTGTGGGGTCTTTATTGTTGAGGAACCCAGAGCTGTACAAGGTTTTCCTATATGCAAAGTCTGTTTTTCCACACTTTCAAAGATTAATTTTTTGGGTAACATTTTCTAAAATAGTGTTCTCCCCAACCTTATTTAGTAGAGTATAGTGAGTATAATTTAACCTTACAGTGCCTCAGGATTTTCCTGTTAGTATGGTTGTTAACCTGATACCGTGGCTGGGGCTCATAGTTCTGTTTGTCCCTGTACTGAATGGCCTGGCCATGCTCTAGTACTGATTCCTGTCATCTCCTTTCCTGTCAGGATGTCTGTGTGCACACATCTGCCTCTGGCCCTCTCACCTTCCAGCCTTCTGGCATAACTAAACTTGGTAGGCCTGTGAATTAAAACTAAGAGCCCTTGGACTTGGCGTGAGGCCCTGTGTGTCCTTCCTACTAAGTAAAATCATGAATTTATGTCATCTATGTTAACTCTTCATAGGCATTTTTTTTTGTGGATTTCTAGGTTTAGAAGTTTATTCCAGAAGGTTGAACTTGAATAGAAATCTGGCCCCTGGCCTTACTGAGTCCAGCATATAGATACATAAAAATTGTACCTAGCTAATCTTACGTGTTAGCATTTCTTTAAGTTATAAAGGTTTTTAAAGAGTACAGATGTGGGTTGGTAAAATAGAAAGGATATGACATAAAATTTTATGAATAAAAATAATTCTGTTTGTCACTTTTAATATTTACTTAAAAGTTACGTTATTTAGTTTATTATTAAAGCTGCAGCACTGTATATCTGCTACATTTGTTTTTGCAAAATTACTTTTTTATATTTAATGCTCAATCTTGGTATTGCATTTATATGAAAAAGTTATTTTTGGCTTGTGAAATAACAAATTAACTGGAAAGAAATTAGTCATGGGCAAGTACAGATTTTCTCCATTTCAAGGTAGTTTCATTTTTGCCTAATATTTTAAGTTCTTTTGAAAAGAAAGAAACCACCTATTGCACTTCCCCACTGAACCACTGTGATGCTCCTGACCACCTGTGGCAGATGTGGCAGGAGGAAAGCGGCTGCCCTGTCATGGTCAGTAAGTAGTGTGTATGGTGACATGCATATATACATATATACATGTATACTATATGTATATATATTGCTGCAGGTACTGACATGCACGCTGTTTTGAAAATATATCTTAATGCTGTGGTTCTCAACTCCCATTCCTCAGACCTTTCACAGGTTACTGCCAAATGCTGATCAGCATAGAAAAAATATTTTTAGCTCTCACCGTATAGTTACCATGAGGAGGATTGAACTGCCAGATTGAACATTGCACTGAGTGGGTTC